CATAAAAGTTTCTTATCTTGCATTTTCATTTTCCTGGAAAATTTCTTGAAACTTTTGTTGCAATGGTTAAGATCCGACCCGGACCGGATCCAAAAGCGGCATTGGTCTCAGAGATTTGTTCCCTATCGAGATCACCAGTTTCTTCTTGCATTCACATCAACCGCAACTCCGGTTCATGTTTCATCGACTGGTATCTCATTCTCGGTGTATGTTCTTTTTTTTTTTTTAAATTTCTCAATTCATATATATATTTCTTTAACAAAAACATTTGTATTCATTTCTATTCAAAATAAAAATAGAACATTGCATTGATCTTTGGATAAAACAGATCCAGGAAGATGCAGAGATCAAGGTCATACGTAAACGATATCACAAATTAGGTCCGGTTTTATATCGGTTTCATTTTTCAAAATTTGTTATATTTTAAAATTTTAAATATTTACAGTTATGATTTACCTTGATTCTCTAAGATAAATCGTTATTTTTTCTCAGCTCTGAAGATTCATCCAGATAAAAACAATCACCCAAAAGCAGATATTGCCTTTAAGCTCATCCACGAGGTCAGCTATTTTTATTTTATTTATAAATATAAAAATTCCCAGCAATCTAAACATGAATATGAATATTTCTTTATTATTTTCTCAGGAGAGACAATAATACATTATTACTATTATATACTGTATTTAAATTATTATATAATGTGTGTGTTGATATGAATCGTACTCTCTCCTTAATAAGAGCATCAGTGTGTTACACATGAACTCATTAATTTTCCCAATTCCCATTACAATCGTACGATGCTATAATCCGGTTTGGCTTTTAGAAAGCGACTGTTTCAATTTTCTAACCGGTTAAATTAAGTTTCTTGAGAAATCCGGTTATTTTCTCGTTCAAAGATTCATTTCTAGCTAGAGCTTATTAATGCTATGTGTAGGCTTATTTATGTCTCTCGGACGAAACGAAGAGAAGATGCTTCAACACAGACCGAAGAAATAACATTTGTTTGAAATGCAGCCGAGTCTCACACAA